ACTCGCGACTGGAAGTGGGCAATTAATTCGCGCTGGTTCGAAGGTCGGTTCGGGGCAGCGCGCACAAGCGACTCGCGGTGCTCCTGTCGGGATCTGCAAGCCAGTAGTCCGTAGTTGGTGCCGTGTGTGAACTGGTGATAGTCCCTCGGACAGTCCTTTGCGAGGCTCGTCTTGCTTATGTCGTTTATGCTCGTAGTTCTATTCGCATTCGACGCGGGATCGTCGGGCTGACGAGCAGTGCGGGCAGCAGGTTGTTGGCCACTCGCAAACAGGATCAAGCTCATCCGCGGGCCTGACCGTCAAAGATTCAGACTGGGCAATTCACGCTGCTGCTCCTTCCAATCCAAAGTGGCTCACCAGTCGCACGGAAAGGTTATTGCAGCATTTCTGCCTTGATTCGCGTAGCTTGTGAGCGTGCTGTTCGGATGGCGCGCCCCTCGCGCGCCGTGCTGGGCTTCTGGTAGCGTCCAGGAACTGAGTTCCAGCTGGCTGAGGCCCGGCGGGCACGTGCAACCCGAATGCCCAACGCAATGAATTGTCGCCAATCTGGAACGCCGTCGGCGATGGAACGCGCGGATCAGGTGCAAATCCCAGGATGGCAACCAGTCGCGTGCCTGCTGTAGGGCACGCGGCGGGCTCAAACCATGCGGTTATCTCACTGGAAGCATCCACAGCATCACATAGTACACCATTGCGAACAACTGCAAGTAAAAGCTCGCGGGTAGGATCGAAGGCTCGATTGCATTTGCCCCCGACAGAACATATGTGCCGCAACAGAATGATCCAAACAAGCCCTTATCTGTGTCGAGCAACTTCGCTGATAAGTACCGAGTAGCGGGCGGAAATGAGAACATTTGGGCGGAGATGAGAGCACCGGGGTGCTCGCGCCACGCCCGTCCCAAGCTCAATCACGTCAGCACGTTCGGTGCAAGCTGCATTCCCTGCGAGGTGCGCTGGGGGGGCCCACGAGGATCCATCAGCTCATTGGGGGCCGAGGGCAGGCCGCTGCTCAGCCTCCGCTGCGGAGGTGGCAGCTGCTGCAGGCACAGTGTCCTCAGTCACCGTCTCCGCCACGTCGGTGCAAGCGTGCAGTTGCACCGAGTGGCCTAGAACTCCGCCGCTCGACTGCGCTGCTCACTCGACGGCGTCGATGACCATGGGAAGGCGTCCATTCGGTGCTGCTTGCGAAGGAAAGCGGGCCGTTCCTGCTGACCATTAGACCTGTGCTTCGCCGCCACCTGGGATCATTAATTCGTGGTTGCCCATGTACATGATTGTGCGTTTAGACTCCATGCTCCGTGGACCTGGTGTCCCAGGGAACTCGCGGCTGGCACCTCGTGCGACGGGCGCCACGCCGCTGCGGGGCGCGGCGCCGCCGCGACCACCCGCGACAGCTAAGCGGGGATCATCGCCCGATGGGTGCGCTCTTGGGCCCCGCTGCCGACGCCTTCGCGATGCTCAAGGTCTTGCTCGCGAGGAATCGCCGCGGCCTGTGCCCTGCGTCGGCGGCGCGCGGGCGCAGCTGAGGCGCGAGCGCCTCTCCCGCGCGGTTGGCTCATGCACCTGGGGCAACCAGCGATCGCGCCGAGCTCGCCTGCGATTGGCAGAGCACGGCTGCAGCATACTTGGGCGGCGCGCTCGTTGACTAGATCGTCGGCGGGCCACCAGGGCTGCGCGGGCATCTCGGCCCCGCCGCCCTGCGGCGAGCCTCGCGGCGGCTGCGGTTCCCGCTCAGGTGCCGGCGCGCTGAAAGTGGCCCCTTGTATCTCAAGCCCCCCGAGGTGCACTCGGCGCTCTGCCTGCAAGCTGCGGGGCGAGGGCTGGCAGCAACGCGGGCGCGCGCAATTTCTCGAACCGCCAGTAGCTGCGGGTTGGGCATTGAGAGAATGGAGCTAACACCTGGTCGCCTCGGTGGACGGTCTCCGCCGCCTCGGGCTCGAAGTTGCCGAGGCTCGCAGCGCCCCGGGCGTCGGCGCAGCTCTTGCGAAACTGATGGCCGCGCTGGAGAATAACATAGAAATCTGCATTTTTCTTTCCATCCAATCCGCTACGACATTTCGTCTCTCCATCGACTTCCACGCCGGCGGCAATCGATTCGGCTCGCGGGCCTGCATGACATTGGTTCTGATAGCTGCGGCCGGCACCTCAGCGAGGCGTGCCTGGCCGCGCCGCGCAGTCCGACAGGTGCCGCGGCTCGCTCTGGCCGCCCTGTCCGGGCATGGCTGTTTTGGCCAAACCCACCGGAGCGCGGTGCGTCGACTCGGCGATCGTCGGGGATCGCGATTGACTTGTCGGGTGAATGGAGGCCCCCGCGCTCCGCTGTTAACTGATGAGTGCGAGCGCGCGGGCGCCCCGCGCAGTTGGTGCCCGAGACACTGCGCGAGCCGAAAAAAGCTGCTTGTTCCGGGGCCGCGGCGGCGGTGTCCGAAACGGCGGCAACGCTAGCAATTCAGGGCCTGACGCAGGCGCAACTACGTTGGATTTCTGCGGAGGAGGGAGCGCGGCGGGCGCGGCGGCGCACGCGCAGCTCTGGACTGGTCAGAGACGCCGCAGACAAGGGGCCCTGGATGGACTCGGGCATCTGCCGCTGGCCCTCGGCGTCAGGCCGCGCCGGCGAAATGCGGGGCCACGCCCGCGGCGGCGGGGGAGACTCGGCGACCGCGAAGGCAACGCCAGAGATGCCCGAGAGAGGCCCGGCATCCAGGGTGCCGCCGAGGGGGCCCGAGTCGGCGCGGCCTCCGAATCTCGGCGGCCCACCTTCCTGGGCACCTGAGCTTCCAGAGCCAGCCCGTGGGCACTCTGCTTGGAAATGGTGCCTCGACCGGCAGATGCAGCGCGTCGCCGTTGCCCCGGCGCATCCTTTTGGGTTCGCCCTGCGGCCCGTGGCTCGGCAGCTTGAACGCTCGCCTCTGCCTTTGATTTCGCATTTCCCTCTGCGCTCCGCCATTCCCTGCGAAAGAATGCCCGTTCTTCTCAAGGGAACCTTCTGATTTTTCTGATGGGCTTGTTCATGCGGCGCCGCCGCTGGCGCTTTCTGTGATTCACCTGCGAGAATCTGGGAGCCCGTCTGCTTTGGAGACGGCCCCCATGAGCTGTTCCGCTCGCTGCGTAGCCAAGTGTTGCTCCGAGGTCTGAGCCAAAGCCAGAGCTGGCCCTGCCGACGCGCTGAGGTAGGCAGGCGCATCTCCAGAGCGCGGCCCCGTGGCGACAGGATACGCGGCCCGCGGCAGCGCGGCGCTCGGCTGAGCCCGCGGCAGGGCGCTGCTCGGCTTTGCGCTGTCGGCGCACGAATAGCCACCTCCGGCACCTGGGAGCTCGGCCGCGCTAGCAGCCCAAGGGTCAAGCCTCTGAGAGTGCCAGGGGTCTGCGCTGGCGTCGTCGCTGCTGTCGTTGGTCACTCCTGCGAAGCATCCAGGAGATGGCGGGGCACGAAGGGCGCTGGCGATGTGATTGCGCGCGTGCTCCACGATATGCCCACGCGCCTGGGCAGTGTCGAGGGGCTGTTGAACTCCTACTCGGTTGCCGGATATCGTTTGCCGCAAGACTGGAGCCGCGTCATGAGATGGGCTTGCAGAAACACAGACCGCTCGAAGGAGCAGCCAGCTGCGGCCCTCCCATGGCACGGCAACTCCACCGATGCGCGTTTCTCGGAATCGCAATGTGAGGAATCGCGAAAGCAATGCGTCGGTGTTCTCGTTGCGCCGCATGGATAACTCGAAGAGTCCCCCTGTAGCTTGCAGGCGTGACTCCTTACCGAACTGAGTCGCGAGGTTCACGATGAGGCACTTGACGGCGTCTTCTGGTTGTCCGTTGACCAGTCCTCCTTGTGGCATTTCCGTGGGAACGAGTAAGCTCGTGGGCGGCGACCCCAGGTTTAGGGATGATGGCAGCGCGTTGCTGGGCACCGCTGCCAATACGAGAACGCGAGGAGACCCTGCACCCTAGTGGCGGAACGGGCAGGCTGATTCCCGTTCGGGTGACCAAGATGGTGGCTGGCGGGACGTGGTGCCACCTCCGCCACCGCTTCCACCTTGCCAAATTCCCGTCGTCATGCAAATGAGTTCTGACAAGGCGGACACGGGGGCATGAGGATACACCTCATGAATGCCAAATTGGATACTCCACCTGAGGAAACATTTGTTGGGTAAGAATGGTTCTGGTCGGGCACCTTGGGGCCTAGTCCTGTCAAGGGACGAAAGCCACCTTGCCACTTGAAACAATCGTTGAAAGACTGGGGCCCTCGATGATGCGTGAGGAAGGTACGGTAATGTCCTAACCAGCTGGAAGCCATTCGAAGTGCGCAGCGTGCTGACTAAAAGGAAAGCCAACACCAACGCGCTCAAGCCGAACCCAAGCACTGGCTCAGTTAGGCGGTATAGCGATGACGCTCCACTGCCAATGCCGGAAAGTTTGTGATGGTCCCTGGCTGGGGCATTGCTGCCCCCTTGGGTATGCTCACACCTACACCAGGCCATCTCTCCCAAGAGACGGTACACCAAAGAGACGGTACACCAATCATAGGGCCACTTGCGGTCGTAGGCGTTAGCCTCGTCGCGCCTGAGGGTGTCCAATGCGGAGGGTGAAGGAAATGCGAACGCGCGTCTACATCGCATTCTGCGCGTCTTCCTTGGATCGCAAGCTGATATCAGTCCCAGCTACCAACTAGAATTGCGGGGGCTGGATGGCGGTAAGAAGATAGCATGAGAGATGCCGATCCTGACACCTTATCAGATGCGTTCGCGCCAGTGTTTCCAGCCAAATGGCAGCCAGGCACCGTAGTCGAATAGCGAGAGGGAGGGAGGGAGAGAGAAAGAGAGAAAGAGAGAGGGAGTGCCGAAGGGGGAGGAAGGAGGGAGGGCGGGAGGGAGAGGGAGGAGGGAAGAGGAGGAGACAGGAGGGAGGGAGGGAGGAGGGAGAAGAGAGGAGGGGGAGGAGGGTGGAGGAGGAGGAGGAGGAGGAGGAGGAGGAGCAGCAGCAGATGCAGGAGGAACAAAACATAACTAGCAGGAGCGAGGGAAAAGCATCAGCAGGTCGAAGACCGGGTGCGCGAGCAGCTCCATCGCGGGAGGCCGAGACCATGGGTCCGGCTCCAGGCACTGCCGCACCAGGTTGCCCATGAAGCCAGGCGCCTGCGCGGGGCCCAAAGAGGTCGTCGTCGTCTGGGGGGGGGGGGGGGGGCGAGGGACGGCATGGGGAGGGAGGAGGGGAGGAGGGAGGGGAGGAAGACGAGGAGTGTCATATCAACATGATCTGGACTCGGGCAAGGAACGCGCCCTTGCTCCTATTGGCAGATGATCCCAGGGCATATGCAGGGAGGAGGTGCACTGCTGCGCTGCTGCGCGCGACGAATACACACTTGGTACACATACGCCTGCCGAAGCGGCGGGCCCTCACGCAAGCCCCGCATTTTGGGTCAGGGCAAGGAGGAGGAGGAAGAGGAGAAGGAGGAAAAGGAGGAAAAGGAGGAGGAATGTGGACTGTAATTGGTGCGTCCTGCAGCTCAGGGTGGCAGACCCGTCACCCCCCGCGGCGCGGCGAGATGACACGATGGAATGCACGCTGACGCGATGGAAATTGGCGTCGCCACGGACGTTGCCTGTGCTGGAGAGCTTACCGTTCCATCAGCAGGCCGAGCTTATGGCCCTGAGCGGCCGAAAGCGGCTTGCGTGGATGTGCCTCAGCCAGCTCGTCCCGCACAGCCGATTCTAATTGGAGAGGACACGCGAGAGGACACAAGATTCTTTGGAGGGCCACATTGCCGGAGGCATGTGAATGCATGGGTCGCGAAACACAAGGGTACCCTTTGACTTGGCAGGGTCGACATACTTACCGCACCCGACTGTAGTGCAGGACGAGTCGGGGCTGCGTGTCGGCAGATGATAAGTCAGAGCCGCTCGTCGGTGGAACCGCATGCCGACCTCCACGGGGTAGAGGCAGGGTGGCGCGAACGTAAGGCTTTGGCTTGTTGCTGCTGGGATTCCGACACCCCATACGCCCGTGCCTCCCGGCATTGAGGTCACGTGCCAGGATTGAAGGGGCCCTGGGACACACAAGTCAATACACACAAATAAAAGGATCCCCCATATTTCCCATATTTTCTGGATTTTTGCCGACCCCCCCACTTCCCATATTTTCCCATATTTTTCTGGGAGTGGACGGTTCATTGTGTCTGTGTGTTTTTTCCCCTCCTGAAGGATGTGGGCCCGTTCGCCTAGTGCGGAACAAAAACGGAAACCATACCCAAGACCCAAGACTGAGGCGGAAACGCCGTGCCGATATTGGTCACCGTCCATCTTGGCCAGCGTCAATTCGTGAACCAACCGCACGAATAGGCGACATCCGGCAGTGACCGTGCCCGAGACTGTCGGAGGCGGCGATGGGCGCCAATAGCCCACGGGGGGGCAACACATGTACCCACGGGCGCCCATGGTCCGTGCCTTCGGCGAGGCTCCCCGAGGGATACGAGTAACGCCCGCCCCGGGGCTCTTCGCCCCTGTCCAAAACGAGTCCAGGGCGAGGATCAAATCGGGTGAGGATAGACCGAGAATCTCTGGGATCGGGCGGCTCTGGATGGAGGATGTCTCGGGCGCCGCGGCCTTCGCAAAGCGTTCCGGAACGCTCTGAGAGCGATGCGGAACGCTCTGGAACGATGTACAGTCAAAATCTGAAGTAAGGACGCGCTGTAAGGACGCAAGACCCTTGGACGATCCTTGGATGCCCCAGTTGAGGCTTTTCTAGCGGCGTGCTGCCGAACAAATCTAAGGACGCAAGGGTGCCCTTGGGAAGGTTACCCGTCCTGACCATGTATTTTTACTGCATCCTTGTCCTAGCCCCGTCCGACTGTCGCCGCCTCCGAGATTGGCGTCGAGAAGATCTCGCGGCATCTTTAGACGAGCGCGTTCCACTACTCGCAAAGTAGCTGCTCGCAAATGGCCCGAATACGCCGCGGGGGCTCTACGATAAATTGCACCAAAGCCGACGTCTGTTTTTCGAACGTTTGCGAGGAGGCACCTTGCGAGTAGTGGACCGCGCTCGGTGGAATCTTGGACATGGTCGGCGTGCTCCTGCCCCCGATCGCTGGGGGGGGGGCAGCCGCGTGCAGGGTGCGGGGAGGCGGGCGGGCGGAGGGGGTTGTCGAGGCTCTCTGGTGGCCCCGGCGGCCGCCCCCGCGCAGCGGCCAGAGGGGACGAGCTCAGTCTGGCAAGTGCTGCCCCAAGAGTGTGCGCCAACACCACCAGTCTTCCGCCCCCCTCTGCCGTCCTCTTCATCCCCCCTCTCCTGTGAGAGGGATGGGGGTGAGGGAGGTGGTGCTCTTCTACGCCATGCCATGCCGTGCTCTACAATGCATCGCATACCCTTTCGGGATCATTGCCCTGCTCGACATCCGACTGTGCGAGTAGAGAGGGGATCTACGCCATGGTAAGGGATGGGAGGGAGGGGTAGGATGTCAGATATGACGCGAGCGCACCTAGCTTGTCATCCCCCCTCTCCTGGGAGAGGGATGGGGGTGAGGGAGGTGGTGGTGGCGTGTCAATTTCTGGGCGCCGTGCGCTGCGTCGCGCGGGGCGCCGTGCGCTGCGTCGCGCCGTGCGCTGTGTCGCCCGGCCGTCTCGGACATCGAAGGCCTGCTCCTCCCGCTGGCCCGCTCCCGCTGCACACCGCCCTCCGTGCCCGAGGCCGCCTGCGCACCGCTCGCTCGCCGCCTCTCGGCGGCTGGGTCCTTCCCGCGTCCTCCGCGGCCGCTCTCTTTTTTCTTCCGCCTGCTCCCGCGCTCCGCGCCTGGCGCCTCCCGCTGGGAGCGATGCCCGCGCCCACAGCCGCTGGCGCTGCCGGTTCAAAGAACTGTTTGCATCGCGTGGGGCCATCTGAGCACTCCACCTGGCAGCGGCATGGGCTCTTGCGTTGCTGACGGCCTTGATAAGCTCAACCCTGACCAGCTTAGTCAGATCCTGCTGGTGACTGGGGACAGGAGGAGGAGGTGGAGGAGGAGTATGAGGGACAAGGAGTAGAAGGAGGAAGAGGGGGAGCAATTTACTGAATAGGAGGGGAGCGCCGACGACGGCTGCGTCGACGCAACGACGACGACGACGACGACGACGGCTGCGACGACGAAGACGACGACGACAACGGCGACGACGGCGACGACGACGACGACCACGACGATGATGACGACCTCGACCACGACCACGACCACGACCACGACAATGACGAGGACGAGGACGAGGACGAGGGACGAGGACGAGGGCGAAGACGAGGACGACGACGACGACGACGACGACGACACCAGGGGTGGGGCTCGGCATCTTTTAACGTGTACCCATCCCCAATGGCGTGGCCTTGGCTACAGTGACCGCCTTACCCCCCCCCACTGACTGGGGATGTATGCTGCTCCCTTCGGCTCTCACGGGACCTGATCCCCATCTGGAGTGTGTTGTCAGGTGGGGATGAGATACCATGGCCCTATGGGGATGGGGATTGATCGAGCGATGCTAAATGGAGGATGCATGAAGGGAGGAGGGAGGAGTGGAGGGACAAGAATGGAGGAAAGCAGGAAGGGAGAGGAGGCGCAGAAGGCGTAGGCGGGGGAGGGGGAAGGAGGAGGAGGAGGAGGAGGAGGAAAATGAGAAAGAGGACGAGGCCCATGATTGGGTTACTCCTGCTCCTTCGGGCCACTGTTAGCTTAATGTCTTGTCTCTTTACTTTAAATGGACCTGTCCGCGGCATGATTTGTGTGCTCGCTCCACCTAAGTCGGCGCCTCTTTTTCTCGTGAAGATCGCAGCGAGCTCGGCCTCAATGTTTAACCCACGTAAGGAGGACGAGGCCCGTTGTGGCCGGGAAGGCGCACAAGGCGTAGGAGGGGGAGGGGAGGCGATTCCAGCGATTCCGGCAAACAGGGGTGAACGAGTGCAAGCTCGGCCCTGGCACCACGAGGGGGACGAGAGGCGCAGAAGGCGCAGGAGGGGTTGAGGGAAGATAGCGATGATGATAATTAATGCTGATGATGATGACGATGAGGATGAGGATGAGGATGAGGATGAGGATGATGATGATGATGATGATGATGATGATGATGATGATGATGATGATGATGATGATGATGATGATGATGATGATGACGATGACGATGCTGATGATGATGATGATGATGATGAGGAGGAGGAGGACGACGCCGACGAGGAGGACGAGGAGGAGGAAAATCTCCCGAGCCGCCAACCGCTACAGCACTGGCTCAAGTCCGCGCGACGTCAAAAAGGAGGAAGACGACGAAAATGACGACGACGAAGACGACGAAGCCCGGCGCGCGTGGGGATCGTTTCGACGGTGCCGAGACCCGGGCGCCTGCGCGAAGTCCATCGGCGGCACGAGCCCGAGGGTCAGCAACCTGGGCCGACCCGGGGGGCCCGCCGGGGGCAGCGCGGGGGTTCGGGGGCGCGTGGACAGGGATGTCGCACGGGCTGTTCCTGCAAGGAGGAAGAGAAAGTGCAGGAGGATGGAGGAGGGCGGAGGGAAAGCGGAAAAAGAGGAAGGAGGAGGAAACTAAAAGTAAGGGACGAAGGTGAAAACCGCGGTGTTCCGAATGGTACAAGACGGGTATGATGTGTCAAGCAAAAATCATACGGGCACGTCTGGTTTACCTGACGCGCCACTGAACAATACATGGCCACGGGAAAGGGAGACGGTTGAGAGAGGCAACGGGATGGGGGGCACCCTGCATGATATACCGTTCGAATATGGTGTTCAAGCGGGTCTGCCTGTGCCTCGCCGGTTCAGGTGTGCAAGCCACGCCCAAACCAGCACGTTCTACAAACCACGCCCATAATATGTCATTTGATAACTGAAAGAAGGTGATCACAGCGGACCTTCTACTGACCGGGTCCTGTACAACATTTCCCCGACTGCAAAATATTCGAATCGAGCATGCAAGCCTGCTGCTCCACGAACATAGTTCGTGGAAACAACCCACTCACTTAGCATGCTTGTCATGTCGCCATGATGTCGAAGATAAGCTCGCAGCCGATGCTGCCCTTCGTCACGGGGTCGGCCTTCATGTCGCGAGTGTCGCACGAAAGCATATCGCAAATGTGTCTTTTGCGGGGCTGGTCTGATAACCACCGCAAGTGGTCTGCCAGGCTGTTCTCCGAACGTGGGCGGACAGGGTCCATGACCAGAGCAGAAAAGACGGACATGCCGTCCACGACCAGCTCGGCCAGCACGACGTAAACTTCTTCCTCCCTCAGCCTCCTGATCTCCTTGCCGAGGCGGTCCGCGCACCGTCTCGTGGAGCGTCCGGAGGCGCGCCCCCAAGCGATCAGCTGCGCCGCAGGCTGCGAACAGCTCTGAACCGTAGGACGATCGACGCAGAAGTTTGTGCGATCGGCTCACGGCGTCGGGCATGTAGCAGATCTGCCTGCCCCGACGCATGCACACGGGCCCAACACGGCCTAAGAGGCCCCAGAGATCATCCCAAGACGGCCACGGAGGCGCCCCAGAGGCGCCCCAAAGTGGCCCAAAACGGCCCAAGATGAGGGCCCCGAGGGCCCTCAGAGAGCCCAAGAGGGCCCCAATAGGCTCCCAAGCACGCCCGAAGAGGAGGGGGCAATGGAACAAGCCAGGAGGCGCCAGCTAGTCTCCCGCAGGCGCCTCGAAATGACAGGTGGCCCCGTCACCACTCCCATGGCGCGTCGGCGCCTAGTCCTCCAGCGCCAACCACACGTTGAAAAAGTTGACGTATGCGGCGGGGGAAGGGCGACACGACGGCGACAGGGGGGACAGGGGCCAGACAAACTCACTCAACAGGGGGGGCCCCTTTGAGTTTGGAACCAGTCTTCGGGTGCAAACCATCCCGGATGTGAGCCAGAGATCCCCGAGCTCGGGGGCTGGAAAATCGCTCGGAGCTTGGGCCCCAGCCTGTAAGCACAATATGAGCCACAGGCCGTGCAGAAGATGTAAGGCCCTACCTGCTCCATCACATGACCGAGTGCAGTGAAGCACTCAAACTGGCTCACCTCCTCCCCTTCCCTAGGCCTGGGCACTGAGGCCAGTCCAACCTGAGGCAGAGTCGAGCCCCCATGGGGCCCCGCACACGGACCCCCAGACCCCAGGAACACAGAAGCACCAGAAATCGCAGTCTGGACAGCCCCAGGCCTGGCCACGGGGACGGCGGCAGCGCACAGCCCGTCACTGGAAAAAAACCAGTCGAGCACGCTCTCGCACAAGAGGGGAGGGGTTACACTCGCGCCCAGAACCTTGGGTAAGCCACCTTATGGAAGCCTCCGTTTTGGCTCTGGCCAGACAGGAACGACAAACAACGAATTCACCAGATTTCCAGAAATCGTGCTCCTGGAATCGAAGGAGAGGCAGGGCGAGGTGTCGAGCGACGGCAACGCCAGCCTCACGTAGGGCCTGCATCTGCCCCCCCACCACCTCCTTGCGCGCGGCGCGCGGGGCAGCTGCCCAGCCAAAAAACCTAGCATTGTTCCGATCAGTCGCCAACTGGCCAGCCCAATACTCGACAAAAGAGTCAGCGACCTCATGAGACCTGGCTCCTACTTTGGCGAAGAAATCCGCCCACATGTTACCAAACCACCAGGGCACAGGCCACTGATCACGCTCGAGGAACTCATCCAACGCGAGGTGGGCGGGCACCCAAGCGAAAGAGGGCATCCTCGGATTAGAACGGCCATGAGCAGCACTAAATATTTTCCTCCAGATGTCAGCTTGGGCCGCCGAGGCAGAGGCATGCTCCTCCGACCATTCGCCCCTCTCGCGCACAGCCCCCAGGAGATCCGAGACCGAGAGCACTAAACGCGGCAGCAACTGAAACCACCAGGAGCGCATATCGTTCAGATCGGCCGACAGTTTGGATGGGTCCAGGCAGAGGGCCATACGCAGCCCTAACTGGGAAACCAAAATCTCCAATCTGCACCAGGGACCACCCACAACGTCGAAATTCTGGCCAAGAGCTGTGCATGCCTGACCCGTCAAAAAACGCAATGGGACCCCAGCTCTCAGGCTTCGACCCCCGGTCTCCCACGAAGAAGGTGGGAGGCTCGGAGGACGGAGAGGGGAGCACGGGGGGGGCCCGGGGGAGCCCAATGCAAAATTTAAGCAGATGAAAACGACCCTGCCCCAATGCATTGACTCCTTCCTCAGACAGACGATCACGTGTTTTTTTCCAACTCATCAGTCCAGGCTGACAGGCCGCCAGCATGGTTCTGATCGAGCAAATTCGGGCACGCAGACAAAAGATGACCAAGATCTCCAACGGCCCCTCGCTGGCGGCAGTCAGGATGCGGGTGACGCGGCGTCCTCAACCCTCCACGTTGGTGCCTTTTCTGCACAGACATGAATCCACCAGCCCACAAGCACCGCAGGGCATCCGCGACTTGGGCATTTTGAGTGGTAGCCGCCTTGCCTCCCACCGTTAGGTTGACTGCCCGCGCCCGCACCGTCTCATTGCCTTCAAGATGCTCCGCATGGTGCTCAAGGATCTTTCGTCCTTGCCAACGCTGCACGCCGAGCCGCAGTAGCTTTCTAACATCCTTGGGAGGCATTCTCAACAACGAAATGACCATACCAGTGTCGCTGACGATGGAGGTGCTGCTGGCCATGTCCCACCCCACACGTCTTAGAGATAGCCACGTGGCCGCGATGGGACCTCGAACACCCTGCCATCCTGGATCCCGTCCAAACCAAAGAGACTGCAACGCGCGCCAGGACCGCTCAAGCCTGCCCATATCCAAACGCAAGTCGAACACGAAACAAGCGTACATGTACACCATGTTGAGCGTCGCATCAAAGATAGGATCCATGAACTTGTCCCTCTGCGTGGCCAGGTAAGCCGTGACACTGACACCCTTGGCATGGACACCAGGTATCACCCCAGCTGTCTGCCGTAACTGCTTCAAGTCACAATCAGGCACTCCTGATGCCGAGCTCCCATGTGCTGCCCCAGCAAACCAGTCCTCCAAATGGCCCCCACTTTGGAGCCTGCAGTCGCTTGAAGTACCTTGACGCGACCCATCCTCTGTAGTTTACCCGAACGACCCCTGGCCACTGTGCGGAACACCTTGCCTCCGACCATGTCATGCCCAAGATTGCGCATATGCTTCCTTCGCGTGGGCCTCAACATCTTAGCCCACGGAAGAAATATCTGGATCACTGCACGAGTTGCGCCCACGTAGCCTGACTTCACAGGTTGAACAAGTAATCCCAGACTTCGCATGCCGCTCTTAGAAATCCTGGTGGCCTTGATCGGCTCGGTCATCCCATCAAGGTCCTGGCCAGCCCATTGCAAGGTACAATCATCAACCAATTCCTGAGGGTGCACCGTAGGACAAATCTCCTGTACACTGATCAGCGTGCGAATCATGAGCACTGTGAGCAGAGTAGTCGCATGGGTGCAGCCAGGAAGAATGCCTTGCTCCACCTCGCGCATGTAAGAGATCGAGCCAAACGCCTTCACCGCCCTCGGCATCTTATATGAGGTGACCAGCTGCCACAGCAAGCGCAACGGGAATCCAACTTCACGCGCTTCACGAAATAGACTGGATACCTTCACCGTGTCAAAACACTTGCACCTGTCCATCATAACCGTAATCGAATGTCCCCCAAGAGGTTCAGACATCTCAGCCATGGCATTGTGGAGAAACGCAGAGCCCGATGGCGAATAACCCTGCCTGTTTCCCCATATCATCTCCGGTGGGAACTTCTTCGGCCACTGCCGTGACAGGGGACGCCGTACTCTGGCCCACACTCTCACAATAGTGTGGATCAGCGCCGCCAATCGAGCGCCTCCACCATCCTTTGGAATTCGAGCCATCTCCGAATGGATGCGTCCCACTGGCCATGCAAGTAGTTGCTCGCACTTCATAAAGAACGAAGCCATCGCGTCCAACCCTTGCTTCGACAGGAAGCACAGCGATCTAGGCTGGATCCTCGAAGGTCCTGCTGCCGTCTTCCACTTGAACCTCCAGATGGCCTCTATCATCATGTCCGTGGTGATGTGCGGTAACGCTTCCCATTCACCACAATCAGACGGCAAAGAGATGTCACTATCATCGTGAACTGACCAAACTTTCATCCACTTGCTCATCTCACGATCAGCTAGCTCGCGAGGGGACTGCTCAGAACCAGTATCGATGATCTCCTGTGTCGCCTGCAACCGAGTGAATCGATGCGCACCACTTGCCCCCCTCTCTAAGGCGGAGTCGACGAACCTTTTCCGACGTGAGCGATTGACCTTCTGATGAGCATCAAGCAACCTATCATGCTCATTCTCAGTATGGGCATAGACCTGCTCAAACTCCGCACATGCAAGAACCGAAAACACAGGCGTTGTCATGAAGAACTCCGACACCCATGCAGGAAGCAACCTGAGCG